TTGAGTGAAAAGTCAAATATCTTATATCAATTACAAACTTAAACTTTTCTTATACATTTTTTAATAATTGTTAAACAGTTTGTAACAATTGTGAGAAATGTGTCTCGCAATGTATTGTCTAAATTGCTTCAACAATTACTGAAATATGTATAAGAAATGTATTGACGTTTAAGCTTTTGTAATTGACGTAAGATATTTGAGGTTTGACTGTGTAGGCGTGCACAACGACAAAACTATTATACATAAATTATGACCTACTGGTGGATCATGCCGTCGTCAACGTGTTCATTCTAATTAGTTCAAATGAGATGAGTTAAATAATTTTCTTTTTTAAATTAAATCAATTATAACGTATAATTATAATACTTCTATAGCGAAACGATAGATGGCGTCTTTATGACATTTGATTTTTGACGTTTGATTGTTGACGTTTGACAGTTTGTTCAGTCTCTCACCAGTGCACAATTACCGGATTATGTGAAACAAGCAATTCAGAGATTTGAGAGAATTTGTTTACTTTGACGCCATTGTTTCAAAAACTTTTGTAATCTGTGTTCCTTAAAAGTTTAAAATGTCTTCTTTAGGCTTCCTTATCCATTCTAGTGCCATAGGTCCCGAGAAATGTTAGGTTAGGTGAAGTTGCGTTAGGTTTTTTTGTTTTAAATACATAGAAGCAATTTGGTAATATGGGTATTTTCATATCCAACCAACATTTTGGTAATATGATACTCTAGTACTGTAGGAGAAATCTTAACATAATCACGGATTTACTTTGCAATATTCTCAAACCACTCAAATTAGGTTGAAAGTTACGTCACAAATACAAAGTGGGCCTATCCAACAGCGAACAATGCATCTTCAGAGAAATAGGAGACGCTAACCACAGCCTATACCAGTGGTTTCCAAACTTGATGTTACTACGCCTCCCTCAAAAGTATGTAATCATTTGACGCCTCACCACACCCCTCCATTTCATAAAATGAACGCGTATTACAGCAATATGGATAAGAGCACAGGGATGAATCTATACATGCTACATTCCCCAAACATTCAGCTTTCATATGCATATATTGGATTCATTCTATCTATTATAGTTTTCGAGTAAATCAATGAAATGTGAAAATACGAAAATACGTTATTATTTCAATTTGTCAACTTTGAACGCGTATTACAGCAATATGGATAAGAGCACAGGAAAGTATCTATACTTGCTGGATTCCCCAAAAATTCAGCTTTCATATGCATATATAGGATTCATTCTATCTATTATAGTTTTTGAGTAAATCAATGAAATGTGAAAACACTGCTTTTTCGAACGTTATTATTTCAATTTTTCAACTTTGAACGGGTATTACAGCAATATGGATAAGAGCACAGGAATGTATCTATACTTTAGCAGATATTTGAAAAATTCCTCACTGCTACTAATATTCGCCTCACAGTTTGGAAAACGCTGTCCTATACCAATGCCCGCAAATCATTCAAGATTCAGCCTATCTAACTGCAGATCTCACAAAACAAAAATACCCACTTCCAACATCTATCAACACTTTCATGGCAACGGGTGACGATAGAACGTACTCGGCTATTTTGGCATTTTTCCGAAGGACTAACCAATCGTTATAGAACACACACAACAGCTCCTATATCGTTATAATTGTAAATCATTTCCAGACTGACTCTCATTCTTGCAGGAATGCTGGAATTACCTGAAAATGGAACAAAAACAAACACCCTCAATAAGTGCAGTGGACAGCCATGCGCCGCCTCTGATGATTGACGCTGGTAGTAATAAAAGAAGAAGAAGAAGAAGACAGTTTGTTGTTAATGACAGATTGTTGCTTGATAAAAAAGAAGATGTATTAAATCTCGAATCAAATAGTCAGTTTGCAGATGTATTTCGAAACAAATACAATTACTTTTATATATATATATATTTATATAATACTTCCTTCTAATATTTCTGTACAAATTGTAAAGTTCTCGAACTTGTGGATGAGGTCAAATATTGACTGCTGCGATGATAAGTAAGTTTTGTACTATTGAGATAGGATTGTACAAACGTTTCCCTCAATTAGTTAAGATAAATATTCGACGCAACGCAGGCGGTACAAACCGCAAACAGGAACGGAAACAAACGGTTGAATCAATACCGAAATTGTAAAACCAATCTTCCCATTCCTTTTCTGGCTTTGAAGTGGATCTGCGGTGCCGATACTACTGCATTTGCATAACCCAAATGCCTGAAGCGCAAATGCACGCCAATGCAGATTACGAAAGAAAGCCATGACAAAGGGAAAAAAAGAGAAGAAATACAAATAGAGGCGTTGTTCCGAACTTTTTTTGAGCTCCGGAACAAACTTTTGCTCATTTTCAGCGCCTCCGAAGCATTTCCCTTTCCACGTTAATCCTCTTTGCGAAAATATTACAATCTTTTATATTATTTTGTTGGAAATAATTTCATAACAGCTCAAATTTACAGCTTACTTAAATAAACAATGCCGAAACATTTAATGAGAGCAATTATTCATTTTTAAGTCTCGCTTTAATTTCCAATTTAATTTCGTATATTTACTTATTTTTTTTGTTTGTTTACACCCCTCAAATGTAATGCAACTTTTGCGGATTTTACACACATTTTTGCTTCTTTCGTCGTTCGCACAATGAGGAAGCATTAGATGATTGATTCGCAAAGTTTCGCGTGCTTCCTGCAAGAAATTTATTAACTTTCGTTGAGGCGCGCGCGTTTCTGTTCCCACACAAAAGCCAAGCGATTTCGTTGATTATTCAGGGGGTAAATAATGGAATCGGCCTGCATTCGTTCTCATCTTCTGTTTTATCGCGTGCCGAGACGAAGGCTTAAGTCGAGCAATTATTCAACTGGGAGTGAATTGCTCGATTAATTTGGAGAGCATTCATAATGAGTGCTTTCTTGGAGCTATGAGTACGCATTTGGAAAGAATTAATGGGCATGGCTTGCGGCCGTTTGGTTGTAATCGCTAATTACCGGATCTTCCTGAAGAGATTAACATTGGCTTTAGCTATTACATTGTTCACGCGACTAAAGAAAATCCCCCAAATTATAATTTGTGCGTGTATATAAAATAATTTTCCGTTGCAACAGAAATTGATCAACCATTAAGCACGCTTGTCGGTTGCAAAACTTCCATTTCGTGATTTATACAGTAAGTATTGACTTATTTTCAGCCATCGTTTTTGAACTAGCTCAAACGATTTTTACACTGATTGACTATCAACCTGTCAAAACAAACCACGTTTTTCTTTCTAAACGGATTCCGCTTTAATTTTAACACGAACTTAACGCTGTGCAAGTTTCCTTCATATCGAAATTATTTTGTGTGCTCCCAACTGCAGTTGCTAAATTGCTCTTTTGTGGTTTCTACACATTCTTGCATTCCCATTAATAATAAATAAGAATCTCACCTACTCGAATTAACTACTACATATTCATTATACAAATGCGCTTCTTGTACAAAAGTACATAGTTTATAATAATTTGATTGTCGGGATTTCGATATTGACCCATTTTGGAGCGTTTACAAGGGTCGAAATAGTTAATTTAACGAAAATTTCGCACATAAAATTCAGGATCAATTTGCGTCTCATCAATCATACATAAGGGTGTGCAGCTGCGAGGATCAAGCAACGGAAGATTACAGATATAAACACTTGATTTTGGAAGGAAAGCAGTAAACAACATGAATTTAATATCGCTTTGATTATGGCTTACATAATGCCCTTTTTCAAAGATGACGAAAACAATGCTCGAAACGACTAACAGAATAAATTTTTTTTTGTAATTGAGAGTGACGAGGAGCATTTTCGGTATTTTTCAGGCACTCCGAAAATCAAAATGAAAAATTTCGCAATAAATTAACGCTTATTGTTCGTTACGCAAAAAACCTTATAAATCGCCCACTTTGTAACTTTATGTAACTTTCTTTACATCAGAAATTGCACCACAAATTTGATCTCAATTTCAATATTAAAAAATATTAAATTCTTTTCGAGTTATTACAAAAAAAACCTTATAAATCGGCTATTTTTATAACTTTACGTAACTTTCTTTGCATCAGAAATTGTACAAGAAATTTGAACTCAATATGCAAAAATAAAATTTTAAAAAAGTTAAATGCTTTTCGAATTATTACGAAAATAAAACTTATAACTCGACCATTTTGTAACTTTTCGTGACTTTCTTTGTATCAGAAATTGTATAATAAATTAGAGTTCTATATGCAAAAATCACATTTTAAAAAAGTTGAATACTTTTCGAATTATTACGAAAATAAAACTTAAAACTCGACCATTTTGTAACTTTTCGTAACTTTTTTTGTATCAAAAATTGTATAATAAATTAGAGCTCAATATGCTAAAATCAAGTTTTAAAAAAGTTAAATACTTCTCGAGTTATTACGAAGAAAATACTTATAACTAGGACATTTTGTAACTTTCTTTTCATCAGAAATTGCACAAAAAATTTGAACTCAATATTCAAAAACCAAATTTTAAGAAAATTGAATACTTTTCGAGTTATTACGATAAAATCTTATAAATCGACCATTTTACAACTTTCTTTAACTTTCATTGCATCAGAAATTGTATAATAAATTAGAGTTCAATACGCAAAAACCAAATTTTTAAAAAGTTGAATACTTTTCAAGTTATTACGATAAAACCTTATAAATAGGCCATTTTATAACTTTTTTTTGTAACTTTCTTTACATAAGAAATTGTGCAATAAATTAAACTTATAACTGGGCCATTTTATAACTATTCGTAATTTTGTTATACCAGAAATTGTACAATAAATTAGAGCTCAATATGCAAAAATAAAATATTAAAAAAGTTGAATACTTTTCGAGTTACGACGAAGAAACCTTATAAATCGGTCATATTGTAAATAATGGTAACTATCTTAGGCCAGAAATTACACAATAAATTAGAGCTTATTGTACAAAAAAAAACTTAAAAAAAAGTAAATATTAAAAATATTTATTTATAATTCAACGTCATTACATATATTTTATTGCAGTACAATCGATTTAATCACCGTCGATTTTGTAGGAAAAGAAAAATTAATATAAAGTATTACTATTCGCATCATCTTCAGCAGCAGCAATCGATCAACGTCGTCGTCGTTCCTCTGATTTGTTTTTGTTTCTTTTTTTATCACCTGCACACAATACACGCTAGTACAGATAAATACAATTAATATTTTTTGTTATCACAGAAACAAAACGACATAAACAAACAAAAAAACAATCAATATATATAATAAATTTGTTTAAATTTCCTCATTTCATCTTACACAGATGACATATATATGTATATATACAAAACGCGCACACTCGATATATTTTTATATATCTATATAAAATAACATTGGACAACTATCTACAAGATACGAATATTATGATAGGGTTTTCACGTCACTTCCGAGGAGATTTATTTGAGATGAGGAGAGAGAGTGAGTGTTCTCTTGAGCACACGGATTTATGGAATTACGCGCCGCCGCCGTCTCTTACGTTCTCTGAGAGATCATCTTTGCTGGTTGTCGTTGAATCGGTGCCGGGCATCCTTTGATAATTGGACATTTGAGAGTTTGCTGGTCTCGTGTAGTCCAGATGATCGTACACAACTAAGGACAGAAGAAAGAAAGAACTATTAGTTGAATCAAGGTGACAAAAAAAAACACTAAATGAGAGGCTAGGCTAAAGACAAAAGTTCAAACATTGACTGCGACTTACTCTTTTAGAAATTCCTTATGAAAATGCCTGCACAATTTAAGCAATATATTATACTAACAGACAGATGTTTGCGAATATTGTAAAATAAAAGAAGTCCTTACCCATGTCCTTGTCTTTTTGCTTGATTTCATCGTAGACGTGGTCGATCTTCTCGATGCTGTGATAGATGTTCGGATTGGTGGCATCCGCGTCGCGATTCTTCAGGAACTCGTTTGAACTGTACGTTGTTCCTAGAAGCAACAAGATGAGATTGTAATCAACTCAATTAAGATGATATAAAGATGCGAACCTTTCAGGCTGAGTTCGTCGTCGTCGGCAGAAGAGGAACAGCACGCACCACCACCACGTCTCTGCTTCTCCAGATTGTTCTGCTTCAGATTATTCCTGATGAGGGTGGTGTTATTGAGCAAACTGTCCTCCTCCCTCTTCGGTCCGCCGTTCTGGAAAGAGTAGACCGGATTGTCGAAGTGATTCCTGTCGACGGTGACAACGTCCGGCGAGAAACCGTTCTGATCGGCGATGTACTGGACGTGCGCAATCTCCGTCTTCAAATTTGCGACGCGTCTTCTATAATAGAGGAATATCACGGCGAAGATTGCGACGACGATGAACGAGACGAAGAAACCGGCGATGATTCCACCGCTGCTCGTCTCATCCAACTCTTGCGATTTCTTGTTGAACGCCGTCATCGGAACGTCGCATTTGTCGCCGGTGAAGCCGTGTCTGCAGATGCAACCGTTCGCCGGATGACACTGAAAGTTGTCGCTCTCGCAGTTGCACGGTTTCATGCAGTGATCATCGTAATATCCTTCCGGACAAACTGCAAAATTTATTAATTAATTGTATTGTCGTTATTAACTAATTAGCAAATAATACGCACTATCTGAACAGGTCGTTCCTGTCCATCCGGGCTGGCACTTGCAGACGCCGTCCACCCTTCTGCAGATGCCGCCGTTCTCGCATTTGCAGTGCTGCGAGCAGTTGAATCCGTACATTCCCTCTGGACACGATGTGCTGCAGTTCTTCCCAATCCAACCGGCCAAACATCTGCACTCTCCGGTCTCGTGATTGCAATCCGCTCCGTTCTTGCAGACGCATTTTTGCTCGCAACCTTTGCCGAAGGTGTCCGTAGGACATGGATGCTTGCAGGTGAGACCGATATAGCCTGGTTTGCACACGTACTCGCCGGTGATGTGATCGCATGTTTTGTTGTCTACAAAAGATGAGAGTTATTGGATTTTAAAAACTGACAAACTTCAATCCTTACCCAAAGAAATTCCCTGCCGACATTTCTGCTTGCATCCGATGCCGTAGAAACCGTTGGCGCACGGCTCCGAACAGTCCGGACCTTGCCAACCGCGCGAGCAGATGCACTCGCCGGTGTTGGGATCACAAGAACTGTTGTTCTTGCAGTTGCAGAGATTCTCGCAGTCGTTGCCGAAACGACCCAGAGGACACGAAGACTCGCAGGTCACACCTTTAAAACAACATTCGATGTGATATTTAAACATGAATGATAATCGATAAATAATGAAAAATATGTCTATTTAACTACGAACAATTTCATACAACAAACGAGTGTGTGTGAGGTGAGAGAGGTGAGCTGGGGGGGATTAGAGCATGCTAATGCATAAACTACTATTGTACTGTACCTTTCCATTCCGGTTTGCAAATGCATTTACCAGAGACCGGATCGCAACCCAGACTGTGCCCCTCCAGGCAAGTGCAGACCTGAGTGCAGTTTGGGCCGAAGAATCCCGGCTCGCAGGGTTTCTCGCACAGATCGCCGTGAAAACCTGAGCTGCACGTGCAAGTGCCTTTCGAAACAAAAGAGAAAAAGAGAAAACAAAAAACATGCGAAAACAAAGGGTGTTGGCGGAGGTGTTGTGTTACCGTTCTGTGGATTGCAGGAGGCGCCGTTTTTGCAAGCGCAGTTCGTATTACAATTGGGGCCAAAATGCCACTCGTCGCAGGGCCTATCGCAGATGTTGCCTTGCCAACCGCCGGTGCATTGGCATTGGCCAGTCTCCGAGGAGCAAGTCGCACCGTTCAGACCTAAACTCAATATAGTTAATATATCGATATTCTTGGATGATTTGGATGGATGGATTGATGGAAAAACTTACAGTTGCATTTGATTGAGCAGTCTTCGCCGAAGGTGCCAACAGCACAGGGAGTCTCGCATTGTTCACCGGTGAAGCCGGGCAAGCAGAAGCAAGTGCCGTTAATTGGTGAGCATTTAGCGCCGTTCGTGCAGTTGCACTGATTCGAACAGCCCATGCCGTAGGTGAGCAACGGGCACGGCCTCGTGCATTCCCTGCTCTTCCAGCCTGGTTTGCATTCGCACTCACCACTCCAAGGATGACAACTGCAAATTTATTGGTTTAGCTAGTTAGCTTTAGTGTTTAAACGCAGTATAATTACTCGATGGAGTTGTCCGGGTGGCAGTCGCACTCTTCGCACCTCGGTCCGTGCTTGTAGTGATCGCATATCCTTTCGCTGCAATGCGGACCTTTCCATCCTTTGGTACAAGAGCAAGTTCCATTCACGTTCGAACATTTCGCGCCGTTCATGCACAAGCATTGCTCCGCACAATCTAATCCGAACGTGCCTTGTGGACAAATGTCCAAACACTGAACAGCAACAGATTAATATATCTTTCATCATCATCATCAAAATGATCATCATTACCCTATCACCCTTGAAACCGGGCAGACACGAACACATCCCCGAGACGTGGTGACATTGGGCGCCGTTGTAGCAGTTGCAATCGTGCGAGCAATTCGTTCCCCACTGTCCGAATGGACACCGATTCCCGCAGACCGGTCCCGTCCATCCATCCGTGCACGAACATTCCCCAGACTCCGGATGACAGTATCCGCCGTTCTGGCAACGGCACTCGGATTTGCACTCTCTTCCGTGCTTCCCCAAAGGACATCTATCTTCGCACCTTTTTTTTTTTCACCCAAAACACAACGATTCAAGTTCCCCGTTTTTTTTTTTTTGTTATTGTTCTTCTGTTTAATGTAGACTTACAGTGGTCCCGTCCATCCAGGATGGCAGATGCACTCTCCGGAAACGTGGTCGCACCTACCGTTCTTGCATCTGCATTTCTCCTCGCAGTTCAGCCCGTACATACCTTCAGAGCAACGCGACTCGCACACGTCCCCCACGTACCCTCTGGTGCAGCTACACTTGCCGTTGTAGGGATCGCAGGTGGCGCCGTTCTGACATTTGCACTTGTTTTGGCAGTCTGGCCCGTAAAAACCATCAGGACAAGCTGTGGATGGGATGGAGTCAGGAGTTTAAGGTTTTTACAACAACAACAACAACAAAAAAAACACTACAAATATTCATCTACTATACCAGTGATTCTTAACCGGAGCAAGCAATATTTCAGAAATATTAATTTTTGCAAATCTTGAAAAGTTCAAGGATTAATTAACTAAATAGTTTTAATTTAGTATAGTAAGTAATAACGCTCATTTTTAAATTCATTTGTATAATAAAATATACTGTCGGGATTTTCAGTGACAAAATTTTGTCGGGATTTTAAGTGGGGCCGCGACTACTAAAAGGTTAAGAATCATTGATCTACATAATACTTGAACGACCAAAAAAAACAAAATCTAAGATAACAACAACAAGTCCTACTAGCTCATAACAACTTACAGATGTTGCATTTCGGTCCTCCGTAACCGCTCTCGCACTTGCAGGTTTCGGGCGCCACGCAGACACCGTGCAAGCAATCCTCGCTGCAGATTGGAACGCATCCAGTTTCCGCCTCGTTCTTCGCGTAACCCTTGCAGCAGTCATCCATGAATCGGTACTTGTGCAAGACTTGCGTTTTGTTCACCGTCTTGTACTCTATCTTGTACTTGGAGCATCTCGGTGGAACGCTCAAACACCACACGTAATGTCTCGTCTGCACGGGCTGCTTCTCCGTTATCAACACCGTCACCGAATACCTACAAGAACCACATTTTTAGTATTTTTTTTTTTGATTACTGTAATATGCATATAAAAGTTGGATATTTCGGGAATATAGCGACTATTCGAGTATTGCTGTAATTTCATCCATTTGGATGTAATTCGCGATTAAAAATGAACGTCAAAATAGAATTTCGTCTCAGTAAGTAACGGTTAATTAAACCAACCATTTCAGGTCAAATAAACATGCTACTTGCAAAGTAGCGCGTAAAACTTACGGTTCTTTCCTCGTGCATATGTTCGGTCCTTCGAGCACAGATTCCGCCGAGCCCAGCAGAGCAAGCAAAACGACTGTAAGCAGTGGAACAACGTTCATCCTTGAATTCTTCTCTGATTGCGTCCTGATGATGAGAAAGAGGAGGTTCCAACCGAACTTCCTGGATGCGAACGGCTCTCAGCAGATAGCTGCAAAGCATTAAAGATGTAAAACCAAATACATTTCGTTCGAACGCAGTCACAAAGTTATACAATTTACGTTTTTCCGTAAGAACGAGGCCAACGAAGAATAACTGCTCATTCAACGTTTCAAGTTAAGCGGGTCAACAGCGTCGAACAGACTAATACTAAATCGGTTCTGCGCGACAAAATGGCAATTAGGACAAGAATTAAATGCACTTCTTCGAAAGTTTGTTTCCTGTCTCGTTCCACGAAAGATAACAACAACCGCAAATAAAAAATATAGTATTTGTATCGCTGATATAGACTATTATCGTATTAGATATTGGTAGATATTTCCGCTTAAATATGCACATCATTAAACTCATTAATTCCATAGTTCAAACAGTAGATAGAAACTAAAACATATATTAGATAATCCGTTGCGTTCATAGAGATACACCACATCCGTCAGTGAGTTATATATCCTTCAAATTACATTTGATAATGCGTAATAATATTTTCCAACATACATAATTACACAAAAATTCATCTTTAAAAAAGTTTCTTCGCGTCGTGCTTCAATATCATTTTGCGAAAAGAAAACGTTCAATTAAAGAAACAGTTGCATAATTTTAAGTGTATGATTTCTATTGTATGAACTGGGAACGAAATTACGAAGTTTACAAGCTATAATTTTCGTAATGCGAAGCAATACTCGAATGATTGTAGTTTCCGCAGTGGAAAATTACGTTATTAGAAAATGTATGTATTTAATTCATTTTCATATACGTACGCACAATTTATATATAAGTTAAATTTGACAAATAAATCCTGCAGTGCGACAGTAGTTGGCGTTGTAATTTTAATGACGTTTGACGTTTTGGTAAACGCCATTAAATGATGGAGTATTTCGCAAATTCTCGTTGCGAAAGTTGTTATCTTTCAATAGCTTTCGCAACTAATCACCTTGCGTCGAAACCAAAATGTAATTAGCAGGTGCGAATTCCCTATTCAACAAAAGTTCTGCCCTAATTCGGAGAGTCCAATTACTAACGCGTTTCCATGGAAATCATTAGAAACGGCTTTTGTTTCGTCGAGCAGACGTGATTCATGGTTTTCGTGACAACAAGCAAATCGTCTTTTCTTGCAACCCTCGCACATTTCGTCGATTGCAAACAATTATGCTATTCGACCTTGCCCCCTTCGAGCAATTTAGCTAAATAATGAGCCGCAATGAGCGTTTCCTGCTCGACAATTATTCGCTTACCTCTGACAATTTTTTTTTGCGCGCATTCTCTCTCTCGATACGTTTAGGGCCGAATTAGGAAATGTCACCGCGAAATTTCGCAAAAGTCAATTAAAACTTGACTGCGAAAGCGGCCACGACATTGATTAATCACTATGGTAACAAAAGCGATAATGGAAATCCTTGTTGTAAATGCATGTACATCTATTGTTCAGAGATATTTCTTTTGCAAAGATCTCAGCATTCTTTTCATGGAAAGAGAAACAACGACGTCCTTGCGATCTTTCCGCACGTTTCCAAAGCCAACAACGTATAGAAATATATTGATTTGTAACCATAAAACTTGCAACTGACGTAAACGTCAAAAATTGACATTCAGATGACGTTCAGCATTTAGTTATTAAACAACATTACGTAATCTCATTCCACGTATATACATATTTATATAAATGTACAGTTTGTATTTGTCATAAATAATTTCCGTCTGTTTCTGACGTAAACCGATTGTCAATAGTTGACTTTTAACATGTAAAATTAATGGATGTTCATCTGTTTTTGACGTTAACCAAATGTCAGTCAACATTAGTCAATTTCGCAAATGTCAATTAAAACTTGACTGCGAAAGCGGCCACGACATTGATTAATCACTATGGTAACAAAAGCGATAATGGAAATGCATTTACATCTATTGTTTAGAGATATTTCTTTTGCAAAGATCTCAGCATTCTTTTTATGGAAAGAGAAACAACGACGTCCTTGCGATCTTTCCGCGCGTTTCCAAAGCCAACAACGTATAGAAATATATTGATTTGCAACCATAAAACTTACAACTGACGCAAACGTCAAAAAATGACATTCAGATGACGTTCA